CAACTGCGTCTGCTGCTAACTCCATGAGATAACGATTTCGTATTGGCTCATTAGGGTGTTTTGTGGCATCGTGAATTCATCACTGCAAGAAAAAAACGATCTCAGATATACATGAGTGACTGTGTTGTGTGTGCGGTATCTGAGTAAACCTTGCTCATTCGTAAGCTTGGTAACTGTGTGGTGTAAATAGAGATTGCATCGATCAAGTGTCGCTCGTTGACATAATCGCATCTAGAAGTGGTTGATGTGGCTTTTGCCAACCCTATGAACTGTTCTTTTATAACTCATTGCCAAATTTTTCGCCTTTGCATTGAGTGGTTAGTGCACCTTTTTCATCTTCGAAAAGTGTTCTTTCTTTCATGAAAAATTAAACTATTTTTACCGAAAAATATTATTTATGTTCCTAAATAAACAAGAGCAAACAATTCTTTTAAATATAAATGCGCAACGAAAGTAAAAAAAGAAAAAAATTGATAGAGACTGCAAAGGCGTCTATATTAATGGGAGTAAAGGCTTGCTTGTTGTACTCGAAAAGACGAAATAAAATTTGTTAGCAATGCTGAAATTCTTAATATTATTTGAGTCGATGACCTAATGATAGTATAATTGTTATTCAGAATACATAATCATTTTGCAACTTTATTGCAAGACTCGGTTTGTTTATAGGATAAATGAAAGAAATTCGAATCTTTACATTACATCCACGCATTTCCTTTAAAAGCAATCGTTAAAATTCTCGATTGCTAACGTTTATAACTATCTTGAGATAATTCAATTAGCAATAAATTTTATTGATTAATTTCAATCACTCAGCGCAATAAATTAAATTAAAACTTAAAATGGAGGAAAAAAGATTGTTGGTGGCCTTAATTTCATGACTTGTGAAATTGGAATGGAGTAAATTTTGGATAAATCAACACGTCCTATTTAAATTTACTCCTAAACTTGTTTCAATTTCGAACAAATTTCACACGTTATTCAGAACTGTTCTTTAAGTTCCACTTCAACTTTTCGTGTGAGAATTTATCCAGTTATGGATTGGAAAATTGTAATACTTGTAGAATTAATGTCGAATGACAAGTCAATAAAATTTTTTTCAAAGAAGCTTTCTAAATTCCTCCGGTAGAACATTAGTTGTACTAGTTCCATTAGTCTGCACCATTTAGAAATCTGGTTAAAATTTGATCACGGAAATTTTAGAAATCTGAAATATATCTCTGATTATGGGTCCCTATTCTAGGTCTAAGTGAGAAAATAAGGATAAAACTGTGAATAACGGAGGTCAGTACTTTCTGGTTCTTGACTTTAGTGCGTTTAAAATCAAACTAATAACATTATAATTTTTTTTGCATTCTAATTTTGGTGCTGATTTTTTATAAAAGTAAAGCTGTTCAAAAAGCGATTGATCTATATTCAGTCTGACGCATATTTCAAAGTCCAACTCGTTGTCGCAATGCTCCCAATAGACATAAACAGAGGCGACCTTTGCCGCACATATGCAGAACCCTTAGGTAGTTTTATGGATTATCGATTAGAACGTAATACTACTATTGGGTGTTTTTAAATACTCGCAAATAGAATTTCAGTTTTTTAACCATTAACGCGAAAGATCTTCACTTTACCTTGTCCATAAATTCTTTATTTAATTTATTTATTCTGCACTTCTAGGTTCGAGTCCGAATTCAAGAGGCCCGACAGTTGCCAGGTGGAAACATATCTCCCCTTTGTAAGGTGCAATGTTGGAATCAAACGCAGATAACTAGCGCTAGACATTCTACAGCATCTCCTTACTGGGGGAGAACGTTCTTCTTTAATTTTCACAAATCTCCAGCCGAACTCTTTCAAAACAATATTGTCTTTGGCGTCTATAATTCCCGAAAACTCCGTTCAGATGCTTTCATAGGTAGCTTTGAGCTTAGTTTGGCTGCTGTCTATGAGAGCCCTAACCATGCCATCCTGCACAAATGGCTTCTTCTTGGTGAACCCGAGGATCCACAAGCTGGTTCTAAGGGTTATTTGAAGATGTCCATTGTCATTCTGGGTCCTGGTGACGAATCGCCTGTAAGTTTTTTCATGACTTATTGCCTACACAATATTAATTATCATTGATAAAATTTCTTTGGACTGTTGAGATTACTGACTCTAGTTTAGGGGTTGCCTATGCTGAACGATGGTGATATGTTAGCCTATTACTCTTTCCATCTGGATAAATCCCTCTTTCATAGGGAAAAGCAATAGTCAAAATCGGTGAAAAATAATATTGACAGTGGACGAGAATAGAGTTAGTTCGGCAGCCTTAGAATAGTGCTAAGGATGAACGAAAGATACGAAGAAGGCTGAAAAGGTTCGAAACCGGTATTTAAGTATTTGGATGTAAATTAAAGTTCTGAAGTGTAGTGCAATACTGGCGACCTTGAAGTTGCAATTGGGCAATCAATATGGTAAATATTGCCGATTAACTGGTATGTTCGTTCTTAATAAAGAATACTAATTGACGAGTTCTTTAATCAAATTTACCTCTTGTTACACCACCACGATGCAAGTTTTTTTAATTCTTCTTAATACTAAGATACCGCTTCAGTCCCGGGGATTTAATTCACTCTCTTTAGGCAAACAGAACAATTAAATTGAGACGAAAGTCGCTTGGCGCCACTCCCACCGGACATTGGATTGTAATAAACAGTTTTAAGTGAACCAATTAATTAGATCGTAATAAGAGTAAATCATTATATATGGCTTGAGCTGCAATCAATGTGGCAGAGAAGTAGTAATGCCAACAGGTGCCCCCAATTGATCACTATTATATACTACTATCGCGGTTGCAGTAATACATTGTTAGTTGTGCAAACAAGCCAATAATTTGTTTAAGTGAGGGTGGAGAAAATGCATGCGATTTAGATACCTTGTCTTTCTTTTAACATATTTAATTCTCTGCTATTTTCCCTATAGGATCTTACGCAAAAAGAAGAAAAAGATGATGAGGACATTGAAGCGTAAGTTTAAACATTTTGCGGGGGAGCGGGGGGGGGGAGAGGGTTAATCAAATTGATTTTTCGATTCACTTAATAAAACTGATTTTGAGATGTAAAATTGGGATAATTTACCAAGTTTGGAGACCTTTTCAGCCAAAATAAATTTAATTTGAAAAGGATAGGCAGGGGAGGGAGCGTAATAATCACAAAGCCGGTGACGGATAACGGTGGGGAAAATTGAGTGATACGAAAAAAGATAATAGACCAGATAAGGATCGATATGGGTTCCTCGATAACAGATAACATGGTTGGGGGAGTGGGTCACTATATGCGATCATTCTTTCTGTATTACCAATTGGATGTAGATATTGGATCATTCATAGCCAAGTAACAGCCGACTACTTTTCTTCAAATTTCCTTAAATGAGTGTCTACTTAATTAATTATTTTAACAGCTAATATTGGTCCTTGTAAGCTGAAGACAGTCAACGTAAATATCATTCAAATTTTAGGAATATCCTACGACCTGCTGGCTTACAGCTTCGACCTGCCCTTTTTCGCTTTATGCTCTTTACTGGTGAAGACTTCCCTCAAAGTATGTCTCTTCAATTGCTCCACATAAACGAAATTTGAACTTTGTATGTACTTTAAAGCTTGGGGTTATGAGTACGTGTACTGGGACTTGAATAGTATGTTAATCAAAGAGGTATATTGTATGAGTGAAACAGTCACTCTCACTCACACACACACACACACACTCTCTCTCTCTCTAACTTTATAATTTAAGTAAACATAGGTAAATGAGTCCTTATGCTGCATTTTAATCCCATATTTTATGTCTTTATAGTGGACAGCAATGCCTTTTCTGGAGTGAAAAAATTCTTCGGTACTGAGAAAGGCGACAAAGAATTCGTCGACCCTTATGCTGTTGTGAAGTTTGCCGGAAAAGAGGTAAATTTAGGTTTTCTGAGACGTGATTTCAAGACTCGACAACCATGTCATTTTCCGGGACCTGAAGTTTGCGTGACTTTCTGACAAAATGCTAGTAATAACATGCTTTAGTTCATAATGGCAGATATTTATGTGCTAGTGTATTTTTAATTGACATCTACGCAAGTCCGAAAATATTGTTTCGTTTTAATTCTGTATGGAAGACTGCTATAGTACTACAAATCTACGAAATTGGATAATAAATATACATATGAACGGAAAACAGAGAAAGGCAAACAAATCGATACAAGGTGGGGGTGGGGGGGGGGGGGGGGGGGGGGGGGGGGTAGAGACATGCAAGGTACCTAAGTCACAGTTAGACAATGTCAAAGTCACCACTCAGCCTAGTCCCGTAAACCATGTGCGCGTGGGAAATAGAAATCACAAAGACAGCGATTTGCAGAACAGTCTGTCATAAATGAGTGAAATTGTTAAAATATGGTCCGAAAGGTAATAAGGATGTATAGCTCATTTTTTCAGCATCCCTTCCTGCCTTCAACTACTTTTTTAATAACAATCGTCCCCTCATTCACAACTGCGTCCACTACCTAAATTAACGGAGGTGAATTTTGTTTTTGTCATTTACTTATGCACCTCGGTTCTGGTAAATATCATACTTCTTCAATTTCCCCATTTGATTGAAAATTACTTTTTGATATAGTAGAACTTGTGAGATCCGACACCACCAAATTGGAGTAATACAAAATATATCCTCCAATCATGAAAGCAATTAGAGAATTTATTAAGCAATACCTACTTACTTGGGTGCTCTTATACACATTCAGACCACATTTCTGACTCATATTTTTCTACTAATGGTGATTAAACTTTTGTCATGCCAAATAAACAAGCTAGATTTTTGTGAAACCGATTTCGATAACCCTGAAAATGGTACCAATGGAAATGATCTACGTATATAAGAAGGATTAAAAAATTGGTATCACTTGAATACGCGCATTTACGTTCTTTCATTTACTCCTTATTGCTGCCCCAATCCAACGTTAGACTCTCTTTGAGTTAGTGAAATCTGTTCAACAACGCTTTTTGTGTGTTATTGTACTTTGAATTGGTCTGCGAGTCACAATCCCTCCTATTTATCTCTATCTCAAGTTCACCTCCATAAACAACTGGAGTATTGTTTGTTCCTTCATCCATGTAGGTTAGATCGGCGACCAAGGAAGGTACTGACCATCCAGAATGGTATCAGGAATTGAAACTCGGTGTACAGGTAAATTTTACTCTGAAATATTTTGTATATGCTATAGAATTATGCTTTATTAATGGTTTTATGGCACTCTAGTTCCCCTCTATGGCTGATCGACTAGCTATTACCGTCTACGATTGGTATGTTCATTTCATTTCAGTAGTATAAGATATACATTATTAACTAAACGAAGTAAAGATTTATACAATTTTGCTATGAACAGAATGGGAGAAAGCTAGTTTTAAATGCAATATATTGTAGGGATCGTTTGAGCAAGAATGACGCCATCGCTACAGAATTCCTGAAACTTAGCGACATTTCGGCTTTACGGGATGGTGATGAGGGTTAGTTTCTTGAGGCTAAAAAAGAACCTCTTATAACTTCACTCCACAATAGTAGTAGATATATCGCTTATCTCTACGCACCCGCACACATATTCTATTCTCAAGTGTTTTTCACTTCTGTAGTGCATGCGCACACACACTAGCTTGCTTTCACCCATAAACTACTCACATTAATAATAAGACCATCTTTGCTCACCACTCGCTAAATTGATTTCAAATTAGCATTTATTCAACCGTGTCATTGACACAATAAATGTTGTGTTAGTTTTGGTTATAGTTTAGTTAACAATTAGGAAAGTATGCACTAAATAAGGTGCTTAAAGTTTTGACAGACTGAAAATTCTTGCTTCGATGTGAAAGGAAAGATTTATTGCAGATTGACGTTTTGTGCTGCATATGAATGGCTTAACTAATGGCTTAAGCGTTTACTTTGAAGACCAAGTTACAGGTATAGTAAACTCATAAGAACAATTTCCCTAAGCACTATCTTAACATACGTGTTATAACGTAAACAGAGACACTATACCTTGAAGCAATCCATTACGAACTCATTTAATCGCTTCTCAAAGCCTGAGTTAAAATCCCGAACTGATGGTAAGACGAGTTAATGGTTCGATTTGTTCAAACGGTTTAAGATATCATGCCTCACTATTAGTTAAATTGAAGGGTTGATTTTCACAAATCGTCCTCGTCTTAGAAATTTAAGAAATCCGCTCACTCCCCCTCCCCCTCCCCCCCCTCCCCACCTACCCGGAAATTCTTTCCTATTGCTGTATGCAACATAACATTACATAACATTGCACCATAGTAGCATTTCGCACTAACTAATTTGTACAATTTCTATTCTAAATCGCGAATTGCAATCTAGGCTTTTTACCAACATTTGGTCCATCATTCATCAACTTCTATGGCTCTACTCGTGAATTCTCGGACATGCCAGATAAGTACAAGGGTTTGAATTTAGCTAAAGGCGAAGGTTGTGCCTACAGAGGCCGTGTCTTCTGTGAACTTCAGACTGAACTCTTAGACGAAATGCCGCAAAGTGGAGTTGCTCCAATCGCAGAAGATTTCAAAGTTACACTCGCTGTAAGTGTTGAGTAAAGTAGCTCTCTCACTCTACACCTCCCACTGATCGATACCTATGCTTATGCTTATGATCGTTCTCCTTCTTTTCCAGAAATTCATGAGACGTCGAAAATATGTCCTGCACGCAGCTTTCTTTCAGGCAAACATGATCAGTATTGACGATGCACCAATTGAATTTGAAGTCAGTATTGGTAATTATGGTAACAATCTTGACGAATCTGTCCCACCATGCTCATCTACCACACCTCCAACCAATGCGGTTTTTGACGGTTGCTATTACAATTTCCTTCCTTGGGGTAATATTAAACCCTGCACTGTGGTTGAATGCCAGTGGGAAGATATCTCCTATCGTCTTTTTGCAATCAATATGATCAATCGTATTATTGACAGATTAGTGAGAAATCGAATAATATATGTGTCTCATTTTTTGACATTTTCGCTTATTTAATACAAATCTCTTTGTTTTTTCCTTTCATAGGAATTTGGAATCGAAAATATCGAAGTGAGCATGAAGGCCAATATTGATGAGACGGATTTGGCTAGTACCATCATTAGTACTTTGGATCAGTTCATCATAGACTGCCAGTAAGTTTCCTAATAAGAACACAGAAAGTTGCTGTTGAAAGATGACTGTGAGTTAAAAGATATTATCAAACCTAAATGGACTGAAATTCGGGTCTCATTAAAATGCCATTTCTATGCTTGTTAGAGCATATTGATGTGCCTTTTTCTTAACGAAATCTTTGAGAATTCGTGATTTAGACTTAGTAAGGAATTAAGTACTGTACGTGGGTTTGTCTGTCATTTAATACCCTTGCAAAGCAGTGTTCAGTGAATAATTTATCCGATCTTTATATTAGGACCCCATTGCCAGAGTGGAAGGAAGGATGCATCCCAATGAACAATTTGGATATAAAAATGATGAAATTACGTAATGGCGAGTTGAACGAACTTATCAAAGAGGCTACAAAACTTCGTGAAGAGGCTACTAGTGCTGAAGGTGTTCTCAAGGAACTGAAGGAGTATGCTCATACTCTACGCAATATTTTCAAAGAGGTAAGACTGTCGGTCAAGTTGATTTATTCTATGTGTGCTGAGTAGTCACATTTGCAATAAAAAAATCTAACTGCACTTTAGCCACAAAACAGTATGCCAGATGTTGTTATATGGATGATGGCGTCAGAGAAACGAATTGGCTATTTCCGAATTCCTGCATATGACATTCTGTACTCTGAAAATCGTATGTACCGTGGTCGCTATTGTGGTTTGGTTAGGACCATAATGCTAAAGGTGAGACCTTACTTAATATTCATCCTCTCTATGCTGTGTAATGAATACACGCCATTATTTAATTTATTTACTAGATTCCATCTTTGGACAAAGATGATCTGTCGGAGAAATGGAAGGTTCCAGCTCAAGTTCGTGTGAGCCTATGGCTTGGTTTGGAAAGGGAACAACATGATTGGGTCTCAAGAGAAGATGATGGCATACAAAAATTTGTGGCAGAAACGGTTAGTTTTACCCTTTTTTATCTATCCCTTATGCAATAAATCAATTGAATGAGTTCTCTTGATAGCGTGTTACCTATATACTTTAAGTAGTGCGTTTTATTTAATCTCTAGTATGAAAACGAAGCTCAAATCTTAGGCAAATGGTCCTCTCGCCGGCCTCCTTTGACTAGACCCAACTTCACAGACTGTAATGGACACATTGAAACACCGAAAGAAAACTTCATACCACCTCAGGGATGGAATTGGAAAGGAGATTGGTACATCAATCAGGACTTTTCCCTCTTGTTTAAGAAAGATACCGGGGCAACAACTTTCACAGAAACCGTGTTCTATAACGAGAAGCGTACTCCAACTTCTGGTTGGGAAAAGGCACCACTTGCTTACACCGACGCGGGTGGTTATGAAAAGCCGGGAGTGGATGAAGTAGTACTTCCAACTGGATGGTCGTGGGAAGATGATTCATGGAAAATTGACTATAACCGACCTTGTGACGAAGAAGGTATGGGCTCATTTCATCCAATAAAAGAAAGATAGTAACCTTAAGATTAGTTTTGGCACACTATTTTAGATTTAAGAATTGATGCTTTTACATGTTATATGCGATTGTGCCTTAAGTAAAATAAAAGATAAAAGGTAAAATCGATACTTTGGTGAATTAATAAGTGTCCGTAGGCGGCTAGCTCTTTGTACTTAAGTCAATAGTAAGAAGTGGGCAAGCACATATTTATTGACAGAGTGGATAATTAAGCATAGCCTCTAGGTTTTATCAATAGCTGAATAAATGTAGTAAAGTTGGTAAAGTGATTGAGGGAGCTTACAAACGTTTTCATCAGATTTTGTGCTCACCGTCTTTTCTTCTTACTAATTGTCAGGTTGGGAGTATGCTGTGGATCAATCCATGGGCAATTATGTAGCAGCCGAAAAGATCTACTACATGAGTCGAAGACGCCGATTAATTCGTCGCCGAAAAGTTAGGGATTCAACGAAAAATGTCAAAGAAGATGTAAGTGGGATGCATTTTATGCCACGTTGTTTGACATTATTTTGTCTCGAAATGCCTCAACTGTTGCAATTGAAACCTTTTTTAAAGATTGTAGCCAAAATGATGGCCACGAAAATGGTTTGTTTAGCTCATTTTTGTCTTTCCAGAATCTTCTTACTTAACATACCCTGTACCTGTGTATGCTCTGCTAATTTTAATTCGCAACCCTACACTGTTAGAAATAAAATCTGTTAACTTAATATGCTTTGCAGCCTAATAAGAAAGTTGCCTTTAATTTGATGTTAATTCAAGCATGATTAGGTGCAGGGTAGAGTAGTAACCCTTAATATGCACTCTAACAACATTTATTCGGAATATATTAAAAAATCGTTTTTTTATCTTACTTCGCCTATTCGGACAGGATGAAAAATTGTCGTTACTTGTAAGTATTAACAATGTCTAATCGTTTTCGTTTTGCATTTTTGAAAGTTAATTGGCTTGCTGCGTGATTGTCCTTTCAATGAATTTGCACAACTTTGTAATAATTTACCTTATTAAAGGAAAAAATATCAGAAGTTCCTTCGGTAATTTCGGCTGCATTATCTTTTTCGATGCTTATTTGAAATATTGCCATTTTCATTCACTGGAAAAAATAACTAGATCGAAGCACCAATTATGTCTTTGCTATCGGATTTTCATTCGCTTCATTTTATGGGTTGGAAAGCCTCATTTTATTGGCTATCATTTTGGTGTCAATCTGGCATCAGTAATTTCATATTTTCCTCTGATTTATTTTTATTTGTGGCGAATAACTTACCATTATTTCACTGGAATTCAATAATTGAGCATCTTTAATTTTTAAACCTATGTTTTTTCCTCAAATTTAAGGGTTCTTTGACTCCATCAGCAGGAGAAGGTTGGGAGTACTCCTTTAGCTTTGACAAGCGATTCCATACTCCCAAAAAGGGTACTGATAATGTGAGAAGACGACGTTGGCATCGTGAAATTGTGGCAGAAAAACCAGACATGTTTATTCCTGCACAATTTCAGTTGCCACCGCTTAAAGATGAGGTGAGTTATGAGAATAGTTTTATAATCATAAGATGTTATCTTTTGTTGCAACTCTTATTAATTAACTTACGTCTTATTAATTCAGAAAAAAAAGAAGGTCAGTCCCTTGAACGTTATTGCATTATAAACTCACCCTCTTGGCTTAATATACATTTTTGGGTCATTCTGAATGCGCAGACTAACAAATCGCCTTTTCTCTTTTCCTAAGAAAGCCAATTATTTACCTAGCGTATGTTCACCCACAGATTGCTTGATTTGTAGTTCCTGACGTTAAACTACCAAATTATGATTTGGCCTTCCTAGCTTGCAATTCGTAAATTTCATTCTTTTATAAGAGTCTATTTCCACGTTTTAGCAATCTAACATAACAAGCCCACGTGTGTACATCCAATATGAAAGTAAGTTATTCAAAGCAGTTTATTTTATCAACTACTACCCGATTATGTGTAGCAGGGTTCTATTTTCATGCATCTTAGATAAACAAACATGGCAACTCAATGCCTACATCTTCCAAGCACGTGGACTTCTTGCTGCCGATCAGTCGGGTCTCTCCGACCCGTATCTTCGAGTCTGTTTTGTTAATCAATCACAAAAGACGGAGCGTTTGAATAAGACGCTTAGTCCAACTTGGGATCAGACATTGATCTTTGAGAATATCGTCATCTATGGAATTGCTGAAGCTGTTGTGGATTCACCCCCACTTGTTACAATTGAAATTTTTGATTGGGACCAGGTTGGAACCGATAATTTCCTTGGGCGGTGCACCGTATGTCTCAGCAGTTTATTTCCTAGTTTCTACAATAACTGTGCAATGGGGGCCTGCCTCATTCGTAATTTTTAACTGCATTTAGGTTGTTCCTGAAGTAGTTACGGAGGAGTCGGAGTTCAAGAAGGTAATGCTACAATGGTATCCTATCAAGAAACAAAATAGAGATGGTGGAGAACTTCTGGCAGCTTTTGAACTGATGCTGGTGAGATGACATTCTATCACTTACTCTATATTGTCGATTAATCTGTTTACGAATTAGGCAATTTCACTATAGATTGATGGCAATGCCCCACCTTCTGCACCAAATAAAAAGCCAGGAACCGAGATCTTTGAAGTCCCAGAAGGAATTCGTCCCGAGTTGGAAAAGATGGGTATTGAAGTGCTCTGCTGGGGCGTCCGCAACATGGAAAAATATCAGCTGGCTGCTGTTAATTCACCTTCTGTTGAGATCGATATCGGTGGCACAGCAGTAATTTCAGATGTTATTGGCAACCTGAAACGTCAGCCTAACTTTAAGAAACACCTCATGTACGTCGAGGTCTACCTTCCTAAGGAGGAACTCTACATGCCACCGATTAATATTGGAGTTCGAGATAATCGAGCTTTTGGCCGTAAACCCCTTGTTGGTAATCATGTGATCACTGACTTCAACAAATTTCGAGTCCCACCTTTGACGAAACCTTATGATCCAATTGAGTCTATACCTGGTAAGCATTTATTTACGGTTCGGAGGGGTATGTCTACTTTAGTTGTTTTCGTCGTAGAAAGTGCATTAGAGGAGAGCAAGTTATTACGCAAGAGGCACAGACTCCCTATAGTCAGATAAATCTTTACTTAATAATAGAGAAAAAAGGACGCCTTGTAGGTAAGACAATATGACATGAAAGGATATGCCTGGTTTTTTAAGGTAGAATATGGTTATGGGGACAATGGACTAGTAGAATACGAGAGGGACATAGAGAAGTGGCTAGTCTTGTCTCAAAACGGCGTCGAATAGAAGTTGGGTGTATCTATCATTCTAGTTCTTCTTTGGTTAATTGCAAGCTAATATTTATATGGCTATTGGCAAGTGATTCTCTAATGACTCTCTACACGTTATTACAGACGTATTTATATGTGTCTTCATCCTGTAGAACTTGGAAGAGCCGGTTCTCCACCCCTTATTCAAGAACAAGACTCAGAGAAGCCCTATGAACCTGAACATAAGGCCCTTAGTGTGGTGAGTTATTTGAAGTGTTCCGATCAGTTCATCAGTCAATCGAACCCTTAAGTGTAATTTTTATGCATTTCTGTTTGCCCCATATTTATTATTTCGTAACATCAATATGTGATTGACTTGTCACAGTTCCACACTTTTTTAATCAATATACTAATTAAGATAATGATATACAATAGTATGCCCTCTTCATTTGTGATTAATTATGAGCACATTTGATAATATTTCTTGATAAAACAAGGTTGAAACAAGTTAGAGAATGAACTTTCAATATTTGAAAAATTTTTTTGTAATGATTTTACTTATATGATTCATTTTGAATGGGAATACGTGGTTGAATTCCATTGTTTTCTTATTTAAATGATTACAAATTTTGGTTCCTTCGTCATCAGATTGTGCCTGCTGTGCCTTATAAGGAATCAAGATTCAAATGGCTCGAACATTCCTTTGGAAAGAACACAACTCTGCAGGTTAATATCGCGCTCATGGCGCGCACACACGCACGCACTTTATTCAATGTGCATGCTGCACTGATCCATCAAACCTTCAATATCTATGACCATTCAAGCTAAATATGTGGCAAAGGCTACAAATACCCACTAATTAGTCTTCACCGCCTTTTGCTTAAAATGAAATAAAAATTAGGATATGTAGCACAAAGTAATCATAGGTATAGATGATTCAATCAAAGGAATAGGAAAGGATAAGCTCCATAAAGACTTTAAAACTTCGTTGTTTTTTGGGTATATGGCATCGACCAATTTTGATTGCACAACACATTCAAGCATGTTTGATTACAAAAAATTCGTAGTTTCAGTGCATGCCTTTTTGTTTCCTTTTGCTTTTGGCCGTATGCTTTATTGGAATTTGACTTCATTTAGTCAGATTACTGGATGCGACGCTCGGAACGTAGACGTAGTGGCGCCCCGAGACCTAGTGAAGATCCCAACGAATCTTTAGCCGCATTACGAATTCAAGATGAAGAAGTTAGCCGCCATAATTGCTGTTGTGTTTTCTTACAGACCCTATTTCATGATTTGCGAATGCTGCTTAGTAGAATAGTTTTGTGGTTGATTTTGTCCTCACAACCAACATCTTTTTCCCCATAGAGTTAACCCAATTATCTCTCCATTCTCTATAATATTTATAAAATTGTTCTATTCTTAAATCTAGATGGATTTAGCTCATTTGGATCCAAATATCGATTGGTATTCAAAATACTATGCTTCTAAAGGCGAGCTTAATAAGTGCACTGACTATAAGGGACGTGGATACGATGTCCTCAAGGTAAGTCAGTTGGCGTATTTTCTATTTTGATTTGAATTAACTCGGAACGTTAACCAATGGCTAATTATTTTTCTAGTTCCTCACACACCCTCTGGAGGAAAGTGAAGGCTTCTACGGATTTGACGATGTAACTTTGACATTCAAGCTCTATCGAGGAAAATCGAAGGATTCTGAAGAGGATGAAGAAGAAAACTACGCTGGTGATTTCAAAGGAACTTTTCGAATTTATAGCGTTCCTGAAGATCCCAGTGCTCCGAAGCCACTTAGGTATCTTGATTGCATAAGTCATGACTCTGATCCAGTGGAATGCATAATTCGTGTATATGTTATCAAAGGCATTGATCTTCAACCTAATGATCCCTCTGGTTTGGTCAGTATTATTGATAGTCTCTGTTCGACTGACCTTTCCATTTTTAAATCAAAGTAATTATGTTTCTTTAGGCCGATCCCTACGTGGAAATCCGTCTTGGAAAGCAAAAAGTTAACTCCAAGGACCATTACATTCCAAATAGCCTGAATCCTGAATTTGGTCGGATGTTCCAACTTAAGGCTTTTATTCCGCTTGAAAATTACTTGACCATTAAAGTTATGGATTTCGATTTGTTGACTCGTGACGATCTTATTGGTGAGACGGTGATAGATTTGGAGAATCGTTTATTGACACGATTTCGTGCAACTTGTGGTATTCCTCAAACCTACAATTTGTCGGGTGTCAATCAGTGGCGTGACAACCAGTTGCCAACTGAGATTCTTGCAGAATTCTGCAAGAAACATAAACTACCAGAACCGAACTACAACGTTGAAGGCAGCGGCACTGTTACTTGTCATATTGGTGAACATTTCTTCAATATTAATGCCTTCGAGAAACACTTGGTTCCAAGTCCGCATTGGGGACCTCCTAGAGAACGCCTTGCACTTCATATCCTGAATGCTCTTCCTTTGGTCAAGGAACACGTGGAGACTAGAGTGCTTCATAATCCCGTCCAACCCGGACTGGATCAGGTAGGTCAAATTCCTCTTGTCTGCACTTTTGAATAGTGAATTCGTTTAAGAAAGGTGGTTGAATAATCACGCTCTTCATTTAATAGTTCCTGGATTATCCTATGAACGAAATGGTAATATCGATGTATTTGGGTAGATTAGCACTTTCAACTTGTAAATATACACCACTCAGAGGGATTGATTCGTTTTGGTGAAAATTGTTATTGATCGAATCATGTATTATACTGTGTATCTAACTTTTATGATAACTTTTACTTTATAGGATCGGGTAAACCAGTGCATGATGAATGCTTCTTGTCCTCTTTGTTTACATTGAAATCGCTTTATTAGAATTAAGCGTCCTATTCTGCTGTTCATCCAATCTAAAGTGCTGCTATCGTCTTAGGAATAATATATGCTGCATGCTATTGAACTGGAAAAAAGTAGTCCTTAACTTTCGATTTCATAATTCTATAGTTCAAAATTTGATATTGTTACCTGTAAACTCTATCAAAGAAGTTAAACTGTTTGAAAGGAATTTAGTCAAGAAGTTCGCAATTTAACACTGTTATGACCTTCGAAAATTTATGATTTCGCTCATTACCACATTTAGAAGCAAACGCTAAAGGCTCTAGCTTCCAAGTCACAAAATGATTCTCTATATAACTCTCGCCTTTTTTTCCGTCTTAGTATTTTTCTACTAAAAAATTTAATCACTAAAATGGTTTCATTTGAGCATGTGCTTGTTTGTGTTGAATAATGCATGCAATAAGATTTCGGCTGCTCTCTTCAATGATTATGAATATTCAAATACCATATTTCCTTTCTAAGGGCAAAGTTGAACTCTGGGTTGATATATTCCCAGTGGCAAATGGCCAGCCTGGACCGTGCGTCGACATCACTCCACGGCGTCCATCGGAATACGAGCTTCGTGTTGTTGTTTGGAATACCTATGAAGTTAAACTTGATGAAACCTCAATTACCGGCGAACGTATGTCAGATATCTACGTTAAGGTGGGATAATATAAAATGTCACCTTATGTTATTCAATCTGAATCATGCTACTGTGAATATTTTCTGCCAATTTTAGGGTTGGCTTATGGGAGTTGATGAGCGCGAAAGCACTGATGTCCATTACCGCTCGTTGAACGGTGAAGGCAACTTCAATTGGCGTCTAATCTTCCCATTCGGTTATATTCCAGCTGAAGGTGAAGTTGTGGTCAAAAAGAAGGAACACTTCTGGTCTCTTGATACGACTGAAAAGAGATTCCCAGGGGTTCTTTGTATGCAGGTTTGGGATAACGATCTTTTCTCTCCCGATGATTACCTGGGTACACTTGAGTTGCCTTTGACACATATGCCACAACCAGTGAAGAAAGCTTCTGATTGTACTCTGGAAGTCATTAATACTAACAGTCCAAAACATAAAACCATCAACCTGTTCGAGAGTAAACGTGCTGGTGGTTTCTGGCCTTTTGTTGATCAAACTGGTCCTGATGGTCAATTGACGGTAAATTCACTACCTATTATCTTTTAAACTAATTACTTTTCCCCTTGTAATCGTAAAAGGAGGCTTTCACGATATTGACATATTACCTCTCTTATCATTTTGCATTTCTACCTTCTTCCCTTATCTTGCACTGCATTCTTTTAATGTTTGCTCGAACTTTTTTTATTTCACAATTATTACAATTTAGAGTTCATTTTATTTCAGCTTTAGTATTTTCATGAAAATTTTTCCGCCATTGACTTTAAATTAGTAAAAAGTAATAAATCAGTTCATAATTGTAAAAGATGCATTATAGATTTCCTTCATTTAGTAAGAATGAATGGGATCTCGCTCCCAAAAATATGATCTCCTTTCTCAAGATTCTTATTTCGAATTACTACTAAAGACTTAAAAGAAATTAGAAAGATATTTCATAATGTTTTGAATCAGTGGAAAAGTGGAGCCAATTGGTGATGCTATAAATTTTTTGTCAAGTTAATACGAAGTTAGAAAGGATGTGGGGAAGGCAATATAATTGATGGAAGGTATTGAGTAAATTTTCTTGATTTTAGGGCAAATTGGAGGCTGAAATGGAACTTCTGACCAAACAGGAAGCACTGGAACGACCTGCTGGCAAAGGACAAGATGAGCCCAATTCTAATCCTCACCTAGACAAACCAAAGTACATTCTCAATTCTTATCCTACTTGCGACCCTATTTTTTAGAAGCATATTCTTAACCTCTTTTTCTTCCGCTTCTAGTCGTCCGCCAACCTCTTTCTTCTGGTTCACTTCGCCATTTAAGACGTGCAAATACATTATTTGCAAGAGATTCAAGTGCATTCTCATTACGGTAGTTTGCGTCTTCCTTGCTGTCCTTCTGATTGCTCTCTTCATCTACGCTATTCCTGTAAGTTCAAATCAACTGCTATTCTCCTATGCATGCAAGCTTACTGATATAACTGGATGTATTTCTATTTCCTTATAGAAACTCTTGGCGAGAAAGATGGTTGGAGTATAAATTCCCTAACAGAATTGAAGAGAAAGATTGGTCGAATTCGCTTAAACGCCAAACGTTTCTCAACTTTCGCAGTGCCTTCTTTTGAAAAAAACACAAGAATTCCAATATCATTTCCCACAGCCTCTATTCTTCATTTTGCTTATTTTCATTCTACCTGCGATACTCGATTCCTTCAATATTTATTAATTTCTTTTCTGTGATGCTTTCATGGTTAGTATTATTTAATAAATATTTGCTTTCCACGTAGAACTTATTACTTTATTCGTTCGAATAATGGGCTAAATTATCTAAGGCAGTGTAGTGGTATCTCAAGTTATTTAGTAATAAGGCAGGTATGGGTCTTATGTATTAGTAGTATCCAACTAGAAGTTTTCCTTGCTTTTAAGCGTCGCTTGGATCTTCTTGTAGGTTTCTTTGGCTGCTTTGCTAGCGCGCTTGTTTTGCATCCACACAGACCAGAAAGCAATAGTCGTAACTAGGAGCAAGAGTATGCAAAGAAGACCCAAAGCCGATTCTATCATATGCATTGTTTGAAAAGTCACTATGACCTATGAAAGAAAGCATAACATTAGACGCGGTTTCGATTGTGATTATACAGCTGTAGTATCAATAAACGTACAGCTTCTGGTGGTGCCTTTTCAATAGATTCAGTAGCTAACCGTAGATACCTATCGCACGGTCTTGGTCTACAGATTCTCCTCTCGATAACCAATGGGTTTCTATACTTCCTAATCCCACTGCTTGAAACAAGTTCGGTGAACTGGCAGTCCTCATGATACGGATCAATACACATTCTTTTTCGGTATCTATATCGACCACCCTCGTAAAGGCCTTGTTGACATGAGGGCTCGCAGGCGGACCATGATGTCCATGGTGTCCAATTATTGATAGGATAGGGTTGACTACAGAACCTACCTCTCCAACCACGATTGCAAACACACTTTCCAATTATAGCCATTTTTCCTGTTTCGGGGTCACGTTCTGCTGCCTGTTTAAACAAGGAATAATAGCACTAGGTTCCAGTTTACATGAAAAGAACCAACAATTGTAGATCAGATCTGAATTTAAATGAAATTCAATGGACACGAAAATTGCAGACTGCCATAAGAGTTCTCCAAAAATAATCCTCATTAAAATCAATTACAGCCACAATCCTCTTCCTGCCAAAACTTCAGCCCAGGAACATAGAGCAAATACATTTCATTCTTTCCATGATAAAGATCGCAAAAACTCCCTTTATTCTCATCATTAAAACGATGTGATTAATACCCTTCATCATATATTTTTAGTACCTGAGAGTTTGGAGGCCAAAACTACATTGGGATTGGTGCGTTTGTCGAAACTGTCTGATAACCATTCTTAACTTTTGCTTTTGACGTGGCAAGGGGCTGTTGCCTTTCCTAGAGCTTAACTATTTCAGTGGTCGGCAGTCCCCCATAGACATCTGAATTTCCCTTTAGCTCTGCTTTTAAAAAGGTATGGGGAGAAACACCCCATGCATTAACCTTGGAGAAGTATCACTAGAAAACTATGACAGTTTGGAGTAATTTAGTCTGCATGACTAGTGAAGTGTCGTTTCGTTTATATGCAAGCTAAGCTAATTGTTATTCTGGATGTTGTCCATTTGATCTAGCAAATTTTTTCGCATCAGTTGTTTGCGCTTCGACACGTTAGATTGACTGATACTTTGCTTTCTTCTAGCACAATTGCCTCAGTTCATGCCGGTTCCTTTCACAGTGTTGAGGGTGCACTGAACAGCGACCGTAATCTCCTTTATATGAACTTCGGGACTCATCGTGATATACAGATCATTCACCACCATGATTCAATTAGTTTCCAGTCATCATCCATTCTCATACAGACATACAATAAATGCTCGAATGCAAAAGAACGTCAATCATGCTCAAATCGCCGTTCCCAAGAAATGCGTATTATATGAATGAACTCAGGAGCAGCAATACCGAAATTATCATCTATGTCAAAGTGTTTGATCAGTTAATGGTTAGTATAGATATATCAAAGCCTAGAATACTTCCTAATTAACATTAAATTAATCCCTCAAAAATATTTGTGCAAAAATTTTGTAGCAGGGTAAATATTTAGTTTAAAACTTAATTTATCTTACCAATATATATTTCTTTTTCAGAGATCGATAATTTATAATCCTTTTTATGCTTAAAAGTTGTTTTCGAACGCACACTCAATCAAGTAGTTAAGTGCATTAATATTGCAAATGGGTGCCTACAAACATGGCTGGACTCAATTTTATATATCTAAGGAGAATTTTATTTAAACTGGGACTATTTTGAGAATCTTTATAGTAGGTTGAAATGCAAAAAAAATCTATAAACCGTGAAATTGCTCTCTTTAAGAATATCTCCGAGAAAGGTGACGAAATACAATTATCATATTTGATTTCAATGAGAGGCAAGATGACGACTCATTGCGAGATTAATACTTCGCATTCAGCCAGTGCGTGTGGGTTATGAAGGACAAATTGACGAAATTAATAGAAGGGACGAGTACCCTTGCGAATATATTCTTATTAAAAATTACTGGTTGAGGAAATGATTTTCGAGATACTCATTGTTTGAGCTCACATCAGATATAAGGGACATTTGTTTAACCCGAGTGATATTTAACTTGCATTTAAGCCCCATATTTAAGATTGTAGCATCTCCAAAAATATATGAAATCTTTTAAGTCATCGAAACGTACAGAAATGCAATATCCATGATGGCATTTTGTCGCAAGGCAAACGTTTATTAGTTCAGCGCAATTGTCTTTTCCAGCCATTGGACCTTCTTTGTAATCGAAGCGTCGGAAACTGGGAAGACACTGACAGGAGTAACTCGATGATACCATATCCGGGATGCATTTATTTCCACCTGAAACTCTACAAGCGACATCTCCAGATGGTGTTTTGCCAATAGGTTGTTCACATGGGTTTTTCCTCTTAAAGTAATATTTAGTTTATTGATTATCGATTTAGTTCATGATATAGCACTTTGTAACCAACTCAATGGAAACGCTCGAGTTAGAATTTTAGACAATTTTAGAAAACCATTTGTCCTGAGGTCCATTGTTTTTACTGCTGGCCAATAGCCTTGAGCATTAGTTGGCATTAATTTGTTCTCATTAACTTCGTTTAGTCCATCAGAGGCAAGGAGGTTGGCTGATCTATTTTACTTTTCGTCTCATCAATGATCCAGTTCCATTATTTGAGCGTTCATTCGTGTATAAACTTATACAAAAAAGAACCTCGGGTAACGCGGTTAGTTATTTGACACCCCAAGACTGTGGATTTACTAGTTGGCTGTTGATTTCATTAACAGTTTAGAATACACTTCTTGAAGAAATATCAAATGTCTATTTCACAGCCCTTTGCTAATACTGTTTAAGTCATTTTCCCTTTTACATGTTATTACTATTCCAGTAATTTCAAATCAAGCCAGAATTTGAGAGTTCGACGAAGCTTTGAAGAAATTCCCACTAAAGGCATAGTTAAGCGTACGTGGCTTAACTTAAACCACGTTTAAAGCGTAGAACAAGCAAATGCAATACTGTGGCAATTGAAGAATCTCACCAAATCTTAATAGTAAAATAAAGGCAGTAGGAGAGTTTGTCAGTATGGCTTTCACTTAATGTGCACTTAGGACCCCCAGATGAGTGCGTCAATGCTTTGTTTTGTTCATTAAGTATCGAGATTGCTCTGTCTTCGGGAACTTTGCTAGGCCAATTTACATCACGCGAGAGAAAAAGAAACATGTCTAATTTCGCCTCGTTAATCAACAGGTTTCCATATAGTATTTGAACACTGCTTGGGTTCAATCAGTTTTTGAAATTTAGCCTGCGGTAGTCAGGTCATTAGCAGCTACAGAGATTTTGCGAAAATAATGACTTAAAGGCTATCAGTACGTAATGAACTTCAATTAAACCATTTAATTGAGCCTTTGATTATTCATTTTTTATTATTCATCTCTGAAAAACAAATGGCTAAGCTCTATCCTCTCTTTCTGGACATAATGGTCTGAGTTTTACATTCAATGTTAGCTATGGTTGCAATAAGAACGCGCCTTAAACTAATGTTACTCCAATCGCAAAACGCTTGTCTACACACTTCTGGGTTGGCTATTTGAAAGATAGGAGAATAATATTTCATACATCAAACATCATTAGCGTCTAGGCTTTTAGAAAGCATCAAGTTGTTAGAGTGCAGAGGTAACTATTTCTCATGCCAACTTTCACCAAAATGATGCATCTGCAGTTTAAAAGTTTACGAACTTGTCAGACTACAGATTTAAATCTAATTTCACTATGTTTTACTGCGAATTGATGAATGAAGATATGTATGCAATTTAAGGAACGGTGTAGTTACTTTGTAAATAGACAATAAAATAATGCTCACCTTCTCACAATTGGCCCCATAGTACATTGGCTTACAAATGCAGTACTCTGCCTTTCTGCAATGTGGACTCAGGAACCCCTTGATTGGCTGTCCTTTTCCATCCAAGCAGATGTAACCTATATCATGAGTCCCCTCTCTATCACACTGTAAATTTTTATAGTAACTGGGTGGCTCAAATCGCCAACTGGAGGAATGGTTGGTATAGTTGGCAATTGATTCCGCTAGGTAGCCAGGAGCTCGCCAGTCTGAATGTAAAGAGCATGCCTTTGGGCCTTCCATCCAGCTATATCTGTCCGAGGGCGGGCAGCGGCAAGAGTAGCTGATGGTTGTGTGTAAACCGACTGTAATGAAAAAAATATACCATAAATATTATTTAACGCTCATTCTCTATCTTTGAAATAGATACCACTCCAACCATAACAAAGTAGGAAGCAGCCTTTTTTTCCACCTCTTCGTCTCTTCCCCCCCCCCCCCTTTTATTCTTTTTCTCTCTCTCTGTTTTTAACTTTGATTATAATTGACTACCTGGTTAATTTGGATGTAGAACAATGGGGAGGCTTCATTACCAAGTACGAGAAATGAACAGAAGTAATCCAATGAACCAATATTCGAGAAACCTTTCTTCACAAAAGTTATTTCTGAGAGAAAGCTTCGCAAACACTGAATTAAAGGGATTTTTAAAGCCAAGCGAATATCAAGGAAAAGAAAACATGTTTCCTCCTCTGTACTAATTTGAGCAACATAATCGGTTTCATTTAGCGCTAATAAAAATATCTTTTTAAATCGATGGTGATTAGTCTTCAAAGTTTATTTTCTGGTGACATTGACAAATAAGTCACATTGAAGGCTAATTGAGATTGGTTATTTTGCCTCTATTTCAGACAATGCCCTGTGGCTTTCTCTCATGCTACATCTAATCTTTTTTGAAAAAAAATATGAAAAAAATACGAAGAGATGAAGACTTCAAATTAGTTAGAACGTATATCGTACAATGCAACCACAATAATGATGGAGAATTTAATCCACTTTCCTGTCATCTTGGGTAAATTTAATTCATATAAACAAAAAGGGGAAACAAATTTTAAAAGGATATTTTAGAAATAAATTTTATTTATGCTAGTAACATTGCAAATTAGCTCCTCGACTGCTTCATGACAGGCTTTGTACAGACTTTCAGAAACAGGTGCCACTTTAACTTGTGTTTGTCGCTATTCTATCGGTGCTTGCAACTTTATGGAGAATTGCTAGAAAAATCATATACCTATTTAGTTTCTCACATTATCTCCTTATAACCTCTCCTTTACAAATATTATATTTCTTTATTATTATAAGGATTGCGATAAATTAAGTTATTGAAATAGTATACCAAAATTCTCTAAAATAACGTCATTATTCACATAATCACTGATAGGCATGATAATTCCAGTTCGTTATAGAGAATTTAGACAAAAAAGACCGCTACTGTATGGATAAGCCACTTCATTGACCTAGTTGATAAGTTTGTATAACCTAACGAGCTCTGCTAACTTTAAATGGCTGACTCTCTCATCTCTACTATATTATAAACGAAAGCTGCTGAGTGTCACATAGGATTGCTTTCCTTTTTCAACCAAAGGTGGGAAGTAAATTGGGTGAATCGACTCATCAAGATAAAAGACCAGTTAATAAACACTGGGCATCATAGACAACCTTTTTGCTCAAACTGATTGTATTCTTCATGAGATTTGAATTCCGGAACGTGGAGTACCCATTTAGTCAATATTATATAACCCAAATTTAAGATTCAAACGTGACAAGGCTCCCTGTTACCCTGGTGTTACTCGCAATATCTTCTAGATACCTATCCAACGCCCCCCCCCTCCCCCCCACCTCCTCCAAATTCTTCCCGCATTCATTGCACTTTTTCTTAACCGCTTACAATTACAACCATTATAATTTTTCATGCTACTGTGGGCGATGCAAAAATAATTGTAATATTAGAAATAAAAAAGATGATCACATACTCTGTCTAAATTATATTTTCTTCCTTTCGAGCCCGAAAAAATTAGACCTTTTAATTCTACTAGTTTCTATTTAAGTTATTATATGATTAAACCGATGAATTGTTTTTTGAAGTCTCTTTCAGTTAAAAAGTGTTGTATCGCACTTTTATACCTCTTAAATATCTTATTAAGCCAAATTTGATTACTTCAATTCTTTATCCTCATTAAGAGCGCGTATTAGATTTCAGTCCACTTTGTTGAAATTAATGTTTTTTTGTAGATTATCTTTAGCAATAATCTGCAGCGCACATCCTGATAGTTAGTCTTGTTTGAACTAATGAATGCAACTATCAATGATTTAATTGTTTAACTTTTAATTCAACCACTGTGCATTATTGGCAGAAGGGATTACGAGCTTTTTTCTACTAAAGTCTAGTATTAGAAGCCAGTTTTATTATTGACTTCGCATGCTTTAGTGTATATATAAGTTTCCTAGAATGAATGACACATTTGTTTATGTCATTGTTTTAAGTCAACTTTTTTAAATAAAATTTTTTATTCCTTACCTCTTGGATCAGGCGTACACACTGAAGACAAGAAATTAGGAAGATCATCAGGGAATTCGCACTGCAATGATCGCTTTCCCAATTTTAAAAGGCCAGCCTTTTTCATATTTTCCTCCTCACTCTCCCTGAAAGCTCCACTACGTTCATCACATACACGAGGACACAGCCCATAAGGATCTGGAATCATGAATAAATTGTTTGAATGAATTTGATAAATGCGTCTGAAATGGCATAAGTTCAGTATATATTCCATTCTGTATAAATCGGCGCTAGGAACAGCCTGTTGCATGGCGGCTTTGAATTCCAGATTTCTGGTATTTTGAATATCATTGAAAATCTTTTGGTGATCTAGGAGTTGCATCCACCGAAAGGCACAAGTCAACCAGTATTGATTGCCCTTAATGCACATTTCTTCTAAGTCTTTCTCTGATGAAAACTCTCGAATCCATTTGCTTCTCCTTTTGTTAAACCAAGGTTTAATTCGCAAGGAACCTTTTGAAGGTGGGCTGACTATAGGTAGAAGTTCACTTCCAATTATACCAGGTGGAAACCCTATTTTTAGTCCATAGCTGTAACTCTGAGGTAATCGAATCAGAGACTTGAGGTAGCTGTAATCTGACATTGATTTTTCTTCTTCCTTGGATTTAACTAATCCAACTATACATAGCCAGGTAAACACCACAGCAAAGATCTAAAGCGAACGTCATTGCAGTAATTCTTCATGACAACTAACCATTTTTAATAACCAGATCTACTACTTTAACTAAATATGAATTAAACTATCTTTCATTAATTTAATATGTATATATATAGCTGCTTTCTATGAATTTAGTCCTATATATACTGACTTTCTATGCAAAGCAAATATTTTTAAAAGAAAATTAACAAGCGCATTCGACTCACATGCATTTCATTTGAAGAAAATTTGATTTTTTAGTTGTAAAGGGTAATTAAATTCCGATAATCATATTTTATTAATTATTTTAT